GTCAGGGGCGGAAAATGGCCGCGGACCACGTGTCAGGGGCAGAGAATGGCTGCAGACCACGTGTCGGGCGGAAAATGGCCGCGGACCACGTGTCAGGGGTGGAAAAATGGCCGCAGACCACATGTCAGGGGCGGAAGAATGGCTGCAGACCACGTGTCAGGGGCAGAGAATGGCTGCAGACCACGTGTCGGGCGGAAAATGGCCGCGGACCACGTGTCAGGGGTGGAAAAATGGCCGCAGACCACATGTCGGGCGGAAAAATGGCTGCGGACCACGTGTCACGGGCGGGAAAATGGCCGCAGACTGTGTCACGGGAGGGAAAATTCATGACCCGAGGCGGAGTTCGCGAACCGAAGCAAAATTTTCTGGCCGGAGCTGGTCGTCACCCGAAAAGTTCGTGAACAGAAGCATTCGTAACCCGAGGTTTCACTGTACTGATAAAGATCAATTTTGTGATTGGGGTACCTTATTTTACAATAAACCAATTTACTGTAATTATTTAGTTAATATGAGTATATTTTTTGTCCTGGATTTGCCCTTTTTTGATTGTGCCACTTTTTTGATTGTGCCACTTTTATATTAGGGGAATCTCTAGCTGAAGTTGGCATTTTTTCTTATATTTATTTTTTTCTGTTTACTCTTTCTCTGTGTGTGCATGAAGGAGATCATCTTCAATTCAAGGTTATTTGCTTTTGGATAAAACACAGAATCCCTACTTTTTAAGTAGTAGTGGTGTACTTTTAATTAAAATTGATATTTCCCTTTCCTTCCAAGAAGAAGTCTATAGAGAGAGAATTGCAAATTCTTACTATCATAGGCCCCCTACCACTAAAGGCACTTGTTCACTGTTTTGATAGTTCCGTTCAGTTCTCTGAGGAACAGAGCCTTAAATATATTTGAAATGGTTGTGAATACTGGGTTTAATTGTTAATTTGATTATATAACAATCTCTTCCTTCCAGAAGGAAGAAAAGAGTTTTTAGCATCCAGTATCTGTATGGGGAAAAGGAAGTTTAATGCATATGTAACACGTTCTATCTTTCCTATTCTTTAAGGAGAAATAATTGTTAAAAAAGGAGTACACCAAGCAATATTTACATTAACTTCATCTGACTAAATAGATAACAAACATCTAAAGCTTAGAATCAACATAGTAGGATGCACTGTAATATATTTTGTCCAGATTTTGTATTTTCAAGCAGAAAATTCAGCTCAGTACAATCTCAGGCTAAAAGTCTAGATGCTACTTTGCCTGTTTTTGTTGAAATGAAGAACGTTTGGAATAAATTCATAATTCTTATTGTTTCTCATCATTTCCTTTTTTTTAATGTTTTGACAGTTGTGGGAAAATGCAACTATTGAATCTCTTGTTATGGAAGACACAAGAGATGTGTCAGAAAAATATCACAAATTCTAAGTACAGCTTGGACAAATATGTATTTACATTACAGTGTTGAATGATTGAAATAATTATAGATCTAATAATGCAGATTGTTGTAAGCAAACATTTAAATATACTTACAACATTAGAAGTTTTTAACTATTGTTCTATCATATTTCAGCAAGGGCCAGCAGCTTGTCATGTGCTTTCTCGTAATTTTCACTTCACGGCATATGGAAAGAAGAATGTGTCTGCCAAAGTATCTGATTCAGTAAGTTCTTATTGTTTTATTATATATGTAGCTTCTTTGACCAATTCGGATATGCTGAAAAAAATAAGGCAATCATTCAGTCCACACATTGCTTTAAGTTGCAATGTAGTTTGTTTTTGGATGAGGTGCTTGGTTAGCAAACCATGATTTGTGGTTTAACCTATTGAACAAATTGTGGGTTATTCAATAAACCTTGGTTATATAAGCCATGGCTTAGCATGTGTACATTTGGCCAATAAGTAAGTATATTTGGGTATGCATTTGTAAAACTTTAAAGCTGGATTCGAATGATCACATTCCCAGTTTTCCTTATAGAGGATTCTGGCATTCAATCTTGTTTGTAGGGATCAATCAAATTGCAGTGTATATATTTACCTGAGCCATTTGCCTGTTCAAACTGAATACTAAAAATACCATAACAAACAATGGCTTGCAGGAATGAAAGCATTTTTTGTTAAAGCATGTGAAAGAATGGAAGCAAAGGATTAAGAAGTTGAGCTTAGTGATGCTTCTAATTCTCTTAAATTATGGAGGATCACAAGTTGGGGAGGGAATATCATTAATCAAAAACCAATTAGAGACATTTGAATTTTTTTTTCAGTATAGTGCTTATTGACTCTGCTGCTCTCCCAGGGTATATTGGAATAATAATAATTTAAATTGTATTTGGGTATTGCAAATATTTCATCTCAGGGTGTTCTGCCTTCTTTTTTTGTTGTTGTTGTTCAGATTTCAACACAGTATCCTGTAGTGGACCATGAATTTGATGCAGTTGTAGTGGGTGCAGGTGGTGCAGGTTTGAGAGCTGCCTTTGGCTTGTCTGAGGCTGGGTTTAATACAGCATGTGTTTCCAAATTGTTCCCGACCAGATCTCATACTGTTGCTGCACAAGTAAGAGGCCTCTTTTTTTTTTTTCAGTCTGTCTTCCAAAGCTAGAGGAAGGGAAATGAAGCATGCCACGTGCTAGCTAGATTTATATTATATACAGATGTCATTGTTTAGCAGAATTAATGCTAATGTTTGGGGGCATATGTTACTATTCTGATTTTGATGGATAACATATATCTATTTTGCCTTGGAATATTGACCCCTGGTAAATTCTGAATCTAATTTTCAAGGGAGAGATCATCTGAAGGTTTGGAATCAAGTATTGCTGTATGCTGATAACACCCAATTTTACTGCTCCATATAATTTAACTCTAAACAAATAATTGATTCCCTTGATTGGTTCTAAATTTAAAAAGTGAACTGGATAAGCAGACATTAAATTTATTTACTTACTTATTAGGCTTATAGCTGTTATATGGCATTCAGCCATTTCTGGATGGGATTGCATTCCACTTTAAATAGTATGGGAATGGTCCTTGACACCCACCTGCATCTGGATTCCCAGGTGTGTTTTATAATTGCCAGCTGTTACAATTCCTGAATGAGACAGCCTTGGTAAAAATTGCTCATGCCTTCATTGCAACATGACTTGACTGTAGCAATGTAGTTACCTTTGAGGAATGTTTAAAAGTTCAGTTGGTGTTAAATATAGTTAGGCTACTAACTGGTCCAGAATACTAGGAGCATTTTATATCTGTTTTGAATACATGTACTGATTACCAAATTGTTTTTTGGACAGAATATAAAATGTTTAATTTTTAAGGCCCTAAATGGTTGAGGACACGATTATCTGAGCGACTGCTGTTCTTGACATGAATCTGCCCAGACTTCAAGGTCAGCAAGAGAGAATACCTTAAAGATCACTTTCTGATCTTTACAGAAAGGAATTGTATTCAATCCCTCCATTTTTTCTTTAATGGAAGGTGTCAGGGCCTTCCCCTTTATCCAGATCTTTTAAATTTAGGTTATCGTTATGGTCAGAAAAAGTCCATGCCTACCAAGCAGTTCTCATTTCTTGATCTGGCAAGGAATTACCTCATGTTGATCCCCACATTAAATTTAAATTTGTTATTTATTAACATTTTAATAATGTTGCCTTTAAAATAATGGTTTAATTTCTAGGGAGGAATCAATGCTGCTTTGGGAAATATGGAAGATGATAACTGGAGATGGCATTTCTATGATACTGTGAAAGGCTCTGACTGGCTAGGAGACCAGGATGCAATTCATTACATGACAGAGCAAGCCCCTGCTTCAGTTATTGAGGTACAGTTACTCAGTTTCCTTGGCTGTCTATAGACTAGTTATATTAGCTAAGGAAACTGGTTTCCTTAATTATGTCATCAATGTGAAAAATAGGAGACATAAACATGCATTGACTGCCTTTACTTGTCCTTTAAGAAAATAGCTGTGCTATGTGAAAAGGCCCAGAAAAACTCCCGATGACTTATTTTGTGACAGGACCATTAATTTCTTGATAATTCATAGTATCGTTGAAGATATCCATTGTGAATGGGCAATCACAAACAAAATGTTTATATTTCATGTCATTTAAAACCATTTTAAATCCATTCAACCCAATCAGGGCTGGATTACAAAAAAATTGTGAACTGAAATCTAGAAATTGATTTTTTCTAGATTTAGATACCCTAAATCGTTATATCATAATTGTCTGGTTTAACATGGCCCATTCCAGTCTACTTAAGTTTACTTACTATTCTTCCTTTCTGTTTAGTTGTTTTAAGTTTCTTTGGCTTTTCACATTCTGTGATCCAACTGTGTATGTGCTTGAAAAATGGGGAACTGGCATCTTTAGCAATCAGACTTTCTTATGGTTTTGGTCTGGTAGCATCATTACGTTCAGATTTACTTATGAAAAACAAGTGCTTCAAACCTGGGGTTTCAGCCATATCCACGCGGTTTTCTTAACAACAGTACAGAGGCTGGTCGCTACTGCTTCCTTCTGGACTTGATTTTGTCATTTGTTCTAGGTGGGTTGGCTTTCTTCATGCTGATACAGTCCTATTGGCCCTTATCAGTGTAGATTATTCTTAGCTTAACCCTTCCCCTTTTAACCTTGCCAGCAAAGATGACTGTACCAAGAAGAAAAGTCCAGAAGTGCAAAAGTTGCAGGTTTTGCTAGGCTTGCCATCTTTGTGACTGATAGACTTTATGCTGCTCCCCCCAAAAATAGTAATTGGTGCTGGCAGACTATATTTCTTATGTGTGGCAGAAGCTTCAGTATTCAAATATTCTCCTTCTAATGTGTAGTTCTCAATTTTTGAGAATTGGATTAATGATGCAGTCATTAAAAATATATGTGGGCTAACACAAAAGGCATCTGGACATATATATCTCCATTAATGGTGTCCACAGATTGCTTATCTTAAATAATAATGTACAAATGAAATTATTCCACTTAAAAATGGCCAAAATCTCATATGATCACTAAATCTCATAAACTCAAAATCTCAGTGTTTTTGCCTAAAATGAGACTGAGTGAAAATATCAAAACCTTTTGAGATAGCAGCTATTAAAAATACATATGCATGTTTATTTAGACATTCATATTACACCCTCCTGTAGTATTGTCACAGTTCATGAATAGTCTAGGAACTGTGGTGATGTTACCTAGCTAATTTTCAGTAAGTTCTGTTAGAAATCCCCAGTTGCATAATAGCATAGGATCTTGTAACCAAAACATACTAAATAAATTAAAACGTTGCTTAGCTTATATTAGTTCCTTTTATATTTTCTTCTGGAACTGAGATATTTTCAGACATATGATGTGCTACCTTATTAACTCTCCTTATCTTCATATGCACAATTAAATTGTTCATCTCATTTTGGATTCCTCAGCTAGAGAATTATGGTATGCCATTTAGCAGGACAGAAGATGGAAAGATCTATCAGCGTGCTTTTGGAGGTCAGAGCCTTAAATTTGGGAAAGGAGGACAGGCTCACCGTTGCTGTTGTGTGGCTGATAGGACAGGCCACTCTCTGTTACACACACTCTATGGCCGGGTAAGAAGTTGCTTGTGGGGTTGGGAACAAAGGTCCTAAGTCATGATTAACAGAGTTGCTTTTAAAATTGATGGTGGTGATGGCTTGTGGTTGTCGCTGTTATGACTCACTCAAGATAAAATTTGGCTGACATACCTATATGTTGTCTGTATAAATAAATATAGTCAAAATAAGATAAAGCTTGTGTAGGTGATACTTTCTCTGTTATTCAAAATGATGTACACCCAATTTTTTAAAAAAACAAACAAACCTCTTCTTCAGATAGAAGTTTTTTGCTTTATTTTGATCTTGGCTGACATACCTATATGTTGTCTGTATAAATAAATATAGTCAAAATAAGATAAAGCTTGTGTAGGTGATACTTTCTCTGTTATTCAAAATGATGTACACCCAATTTTTTAAAAAAACAAACAAACCTCTTCTTCAGATAGAAGTTTTTTGCTTTATTTTGATCTTGGCTGACATACCTATATGTTGTCTGTATAAATAAATATAGTCAAAATAAGATAAAGCTTGTGTAGGTGATACTTTCTGTTATTCAAAATGGTGTACACCCAATTTTTTAAAAAAACAAACAAACCTCTTTTTCAGATAGAAGTTTTTTTTGCTTTATTTTGATCTTAGAAAATATTATGAAGAAACTGTGAAGGCGTCTGATCACTGGACCATCCACTCCAAAAAATGGTAGCTAGAAAGCTTGGGATTGTTGTGGATACCTAATGAAAATGTTGATCCAGTGGGTTCTTTGGAAAATAGTAACTTCCAAGTTAGGCTTAATAACTTCCATTACTGTATTAAGTAAGAAATTCAATATTGCCAGCAAATACTAGCTTTATACAATGTGAATGCACTATGTATGACAGCTGTATCTTAAAAAGGCTATTATGTGGTTGAAAACACAGAGAAAGAAAATGTTAAGGAGGTCAAGTCACCATTGGGGAAAACTTAAAACATTTAATATATTTTTAATTTAGAGAACAGGCAAGAGTACACAGTATTGAGGACACAGAAAGGACCAAATTTGTCTTTCATACAGTGGGGCAAAAAAGTATTTAGTCAGCCACCAATTGTGCAAGTTCTCCCACT